TAAGGCTCACTCCACCAGGCTCTTGGGCTGCTTCCAGCACATGCCACTATTTATAATCTAGGCAGCAGCTACAGGGACTCTGCTCTGTTCATATTTGTCAAGTCTTATGGATTTAGTTACTATACCAGATGCCAAAATTTGTAGTGAGAGTGCTCCATTCTCTACTCAGCTGAATTCCTCCTCATTTATACTCGCCCAGGGTAGCACTGCTCACCGTACACCTGCAGTGCAGATCACAGTGACACCCGAATAAAGGAATTTACGTGCTCTTGAGTAACTGTAGTTCTTTGAAATAATGACTACGCTGCAGTAAGAAATCCAATTTTTAATTAATTCATTTTATGCAATGAATCCAATATTAAAACCCCTAAAATATTAATAAAGCAGAATTCTGCACACATTTTATTTCCATAAATCTGAAATGAAGCTTAAACTGTCTCTTAGAGTGTTGGTACTGCGTACAACTCAGCAAACAATGAATAAGCAGTACTGATTAAAATAGCAGAAAACATCTCTTGATTTGAACTGTTTTTATTTCAGTGTTTCATGAAGGCATCTCTCAAAATAACTTCATTCTGAATGCAACTCATTAATGTGTGCTGCCCCACCCCCTGCCTTCGTAAGCCTTCTCCAACTGGCTAAATGTGGTGACTGGAGCTTTTCGGATTAATTTTCCTTAAGTGACCTACTTTGCAGAGAAAGATAATCATGCATTTATAGCCTCTGGCATTCTATTCAGGTCACAGATGGACAGATAGCAAAGCTATTCCTCCGTGACTTACCGGGGTTGTAACTAATCCCCAGTGAGAAGGGAGATCGGCCTGATGTTAATTGGTCAGAATGCCTAAAAGTATGGAAGATCATTGACTCCAACTTTAATTTTTGGGGGGTACCACACTTAGGCTGTATGATATCTGCTCTAGGAGTGTTTTGTGGAAGTGATGGAATTACCGGGTGCTGTAGATGTTAAACATCTGACTTTGAATCCTTTGCCTTGACGGTGGTCTGACGGTGGGCATTGTCTGATGTTAACACTCATGACACATATCATGGCTGGCAGCAAGGACTGGAGATTTGGGAGAGTTTTCACCTTTTGTTCGCTGAGAAGTGCTTACAGTCTCATGAAGAGTTATAATTGTAAAGATAATTTTCTGTGCAATCAGACCTAAGCCTCTGTTACAAAAGTATTTTTTCTGTAGCATGATCAGTTGAGCCAATGAAACATAGATTTTGGTATTATCCTTTAGAGGCCTGTTTCCCCTCTTGTATTTGGCACTAATGTGGTGATGTATGCAAACCAGCATCTTTTCTTACTTAAGAGGTTCGGAAGTTTCACAGGGTAAATGACCAGGCTTTATTCTCTGTTTGGATATTTTCAAAAGCTTGGTGGAGAAACGGGCAACAAGCAGGAGTGTTAAGAATGTCTCTTTTTTTGAAGGACCATCTCGCAACACTGGGTGCGCCAAGCAGTCAGTGATGTTAATCCTAACAGGTCTGAAGAAATAACTGTGAAAACTGTGACACCGCCAGTAAGGGGATGGATGGCTTTCAGAACCAAATAAAACATGTGTGCAGGTCTAATTCTTTCACCACAGGGCTGCAAGCATGTCCCCCAATGTATATGGATGGCTTTGCTCTTTGCACTGCAGTGCAGAACCAAAAGGTGTTCTGGTGCGCTGCAGTTTGGATCACTTTGATCACTAATTAAATTTTCGTATTTCATGCGCTTTCTAGAGTAAATAATCTCAGAACACATGAGGAATGATTTGGGTTTGGTTTAGGTAGTTACAACTGTTAGGACAACCTGGTGAAGCTGTGTGTGTACTTCCTATGACAGAATCTAGTGCACTGAGGGCAAAATAAATTCCTTTTAGCAAAAAGCCTTTCAAACAGAAATTAAGTAAAAGGTTTCAGAGGGAAAAAAATATGTGCTGCTCTCCTGTACCTATCCAGAGGGACTGTAGTGCAGCTGTTCCACTGTCAAAATTCTGGCCATGGGCTTTAACAGTTGCTGGGAGCCCTTTGAATTTCCCAATGTGTTCTTCAGCTTCTGGATTTATGTGTTCCCTCTCCTGGCTGTTAGCCCCAGCATATTCTCCTCTGAGGGCGAATTCTCATTGTGTCTGAACCATATGTTTCTCAGCATTTCCTTTGGAAGTGTTGATAAATTTGAACGAGTCCAGCTCTGCAGATATGCCTGGTCTAGCTTAAGAACAGCCTGTTGTAGTTGTGGTTTTATCTAGTCCTAAAGTAATTAATTTAAATCCAAATAAATCCAGTTTTAACCAAAATAATCCACAAAGCATAATTGTAATTATCTTTTGGGGGTTTTGGTTAGTTTTTTGGGGGTTTGTCGAGAAAGTATTTGAAAAAAAGTAAGTGAGCAGTGCCAGGACTGGTTATGGGCTATTTTAATCGAGCTATAATTTTATGAAACAGAAAATTCACATCTTTGGTTCTGTGTTTCCTGGTATGATATCCATCACGTGGTTGTGTTTATGTCAGAGAACGTGGAGTTTTGTAAGAAAAAGCAGCATAAGTAAATAGTTGCCATAGTACAGTCTGTAGAAGATAAATTTTTTGTAGAAAAAAATCATATCTATTACAAACAAATAACATCTGCATTTCAATAGACATGTTCATGCTCACTATATAGATCTCTTAGGGATAAAAAGTATGATTGAGAGATAATAGCGGTGCATTCCTATTGGAAACAACCAATTTAAAGATAACCATCTCCAAAGAAACTTTCTGGATCTTGAAGCAGGTTTGCCATAACAGTAATAGAAAATACATGCTTCATATTTAGTACTGACACTTCAGTATACAAGCAATAACTTAAGAGCTCCTTACTGTTTTCCTGGCAGAGTAGTAAGAGCACTGGGCAAAGGTGAAGGTGAAATGCACCATGAATCCCCCTCACATTATTACTCACTGAGAGTCTGTCTTCTGGGATCTTTGTGGCTTGGAAATTTACCTTGTATCATTGTGGGTATATGCATTATTACACTGGAAAAAAAATCCATTCCTTCCCTGTTTGCGTATTAAATTAGGATATTAAGTGATAAAAAAATTCTCATCCTGTAACTGTCCCAGATACAAAGCTTTTAATCTGCAGTGTTACAGCAATATAGAATCTTGTGTGTATATTTCTTCTGTGGGGAAAGATGAGTAGTAAGGCACATTTTGTAAACACGTATAGGTCTCACACACACAGAGTTTGCTACTAGTCCTGCTATAGCAGGACTACTGAACGGAACTATTCACCTGCATGGGATGGCTGGGATGCATACTTGTTTGCCAGGTCAGCACATCAAGGAGGAGTTAAGAATATATCATGAATATGATAATGAACTAGATTTTTTCCGCATGTTTTTTACAAAATTTGTTGATCTGCTGTGCTACTTACTGTAAGTGAAAAGTAAATCTGATTAGAGAAACGGAAGAGTAGATGTTGTTACAGAAATTTGTTCTCATCTTCTTTAATATGTGAGTCAGTGTTCCCTGATGAAGTAGGATTATCGTTATTTTAGTTTAGTTATTTCATATTTAAAATTTCCAGTGGTGAACTTCTAATTAGTCGAATAGCTCATGAAATGCTAGAGCCATTTGAAAGAAGCTGTATTCCTCTTCTGAAGGAACTTATATTCCTGTTCAAGAGGATGAAGCAGCTATTTGGAAGGAAATGCTGGAGAGCAGAAGAATTAGACTTCATGTTTTAGTGAAACAGTAGATGTGATCTGAATTGGTAATGAATATTCCTTGGCGGCTGGTTGATTTTTAACACCTAAGGAGCATTTATAAGGGTCATAATGTTTTTGAAATATGCTTTGGTGGAATAGGCTGTTCATATACACAAAGTTCAAATAAACCTATAAACTTACATGCAAAATATGAATAATTTATAATTAAATTAAGCACATAAAATGTATTTATTATAATAAATAACTAGATTATAATAATTCCTCATAATTCATCGTAAACCTATACACAAAATCATTTTGGCCAGAGTTATAGGACTTTGGTGTTCAATGGGGCCTTTAATAGTAAGCTAATTAGACAAAATGAATTATTTTCTATATGTATTTTCCATGTAGGTGTGCACCTCACATGCTGTTAGCATTATACAAGTAAACATTAATGAGCTGTTTGCATACTAATACATTCACCTGATGTGGCTGATTTGTTTTTCCCTTGCATACTGAGTGCAAAGATAGGGTCTGTGGATAATGGCAAACTAATTACCTGTGATAATTAAACCCTCTGATTGCTCAGAGAATAACTAAATTGCAGGCAAGGATTGTTCCTCCATAGGCTACTTCAGTAAACCTCAGCATCGGCTTCCTCTTTGCAGTAAAACAATAATACCTCTAATGCTCCTTGATCTTCAGTCTCTTTGCTGATATTACTGAGGAAAGGCACATTAATAGTAGTATGGTGTTGAAATTCAAGATCTTTAAGTTTGCAAGTTCAAATTAAATGTGGTATTTAATAAAGAAAGTATATTTCAGGGGCAGAAAGCTTGCATTAAGACAACTAATCTGCAGTTCCAAAGCACTGCATTAGCTCTCTTTAATCAATTTAGTGACAAATCTTTTCCTACAATAAATTTCATATAAGTAGTAGATTAAAAAAGCACTTTCACTCAATGCATATATATAAAAATAGTGACTAACCATATACGTACTCTAGAATTACACTTGCTTTCAGGAAGCTAATGTGGATTTCATCTTCCTTAGCGTTTTATTTTAAAAAATACCCTGTTGAACTGGGAGGGTAGAGGTTGTTTTTCAGTAATGACTACCTGTATTTTCTGAATTTACAGTTTTGATGATTTGAGCATTTTGGATCCCATTTGAACATTGAGTCATAGGATTGTTGCATAATTCTATTTTTTTTCCTGGATGTTTCGAGAAAAAAAATTATAAGACATTTTAAGGAAAAAAAAAAAAAAAAGACGAGACTTGAGGGCTCTGACCAATCTCATTCTGTCTGTGCAGTTCGACAATCAGCAAGCACTGGGAGGCAGAACTGGCCACGCTGAAGGGTAATAATGCCAAGCTCACAGCAGCCCTGCTGGAGTCCACTGCCAATGTGAAACAATGGAAACAACAACTTGCTGCGTATCAGGAGGAAGCAGAACGTCTTCATAAGCGGGTAAGTCGAGGCAGACAGCCAGGATCCTTGAGGTGGAAGTGCTGGTGACTGTATTTGCTCATTTTCAAGTAAAACAAATAAGTTTATTGTTGCGACTTTAGGTTAATCTTTGAGATAGAAATTAATGATTACTTTAAAGCGCTCAGGGTTCCTCCATTGGGAAATTCTTTCCTTTGTAGCAGTTCCTGCGCTGCAAAGGGTATTGTTGCAGGAAGAGTTATCTAACCCGTGAAAGTTAGGACATGTTTGCCAGCTTTCACTCTTCATTTGTTGCCAGCTGCATCACCTCTGATTCGAGTCCTTCCCCATTCAAGGCTTTCTCCATAGCATTACGCTTCAGACCTTCTTCCATTTAAGCCCACAGAAACTGGACATCAAATTTTTAAGTTAAAGAAACTCTGTTATATTTTCCCCATATAACAAAGACGAACAGCTTCCTCTCATCCTTGCACCTAAAGAAAACTGAAGGTTGATTCAAGATCAGTATATGCAATTAGAAATCTGCTCCCACTTTCATACAGCAGGGCTGGGTCCTGTTCCTTTCAGTGTAAATTGGCAGAGGTCATTTGGCAAACCAGAAATTAGTACACAGTGGGGGAAGGAACAACAGTGTTTGCAGGAGGAATAAAGCATATGCATTGCTGAAGGCTGCATTATGAAAACAAGTATAAAATATTTTCCTTTCTCTTTTCAAATGTAACTATATATTCTATAATCTATTCATGTTTATCCATATGAATTTGTCATCAAAGCGAGGACACATTTTTGTGCAAAGTGAAGGCAAGATTAGCACATGTCTAGAGGGAAGGTGTCTTTGATGAAGCTGTATTAGTTCTGTTAATATCCGTTCACTTAGAAAAATACCAAGGAGGTGTTCAGGAAATAAAGCCAAACAAAAGTATTGCTTTTTTTGTACAAAACATGTTTCGTGAATATGCTGAGAAGAAGGGAAAGGTCATGTAGCAAATGTGACAGACCTTTAAATTTGGTTTTGTATGCTGTATTTACCTATATGAAATAATGTATAGGAATTAAAATTAGCCAAATCCTGCAAATTGCTAAAGGTTCTTTCAGACCTGCACTGGACCTGTCCAACTGGAGGCTGTTAGGAGTCCCAGTTCATCTGAGGAGGAAGATATTGAGCGCACTGCATGTAACCTGGGGATGTGGAAGAGCAGCAAGAACTCCCTTGATCTTGAGAAATCTGGGGGAATGGCAGGTTGTGGGGCTGTCCTGTACCTAGGCTGACTTGCAGACAAGGATCCTGAAGTTCCAGCCAAATGAGCTGATAGGGAAGAATGACAATTTCTGACAGACTGTAACTGTGTGTGCCATAGCTGGCTGGACAAAATGCATGAAGGATAATTAAAATTGGAGCTTTTTGCAAAGTGCTTTCAATTCAAGAAATTGGCAGTTGCTGGCAAAATTGCTTTGCTTCAGAAATTTTCCAGTCAGGCACAAGCTTGTCATGTGTGTTTGTACAGAGGGAAACTATCACTTTCTCATCTCACTTAAGCTTCTCCTGTGGAAGGGTTGAAGTTACAAACTGTGCTTCAGGTTTGTGAATAGATGATAACAGTTGTTGTTGATAAAGTGATTTAAATTACAACCTTGTATTAAAATTGTTGTAGTGCAGATATCCAGATAGATTTGACCACTAGATAGGCTTTACGGTGAGGCACTCATCACTAAAACATGGACATGATGAAGTAGCATTCTTCCTAATAAAATGTATTAACAGCTTTTGTTGCAAAGCTGAGACAATATAGTTCTTACCTAAGAAAGAAAAGAAGAATAACACACAACAACAGCAGCTGAACTCACTGTGGGGAAACCCAAACAGACAAGACAGGCAAAGATCCCTATTTCTTGATGTTACTCTCACTGTTAGTCAAATCTTATTTAAAATATGTTATTGGAAAATACAATTAATTAATATAGAAATTAACGAATATAGGAATAGCACCTGGAGTGCAGCACAAAGGAATACTAGCCAATCCAACCAGAAAGCCAGCTTCATCAGGGGCCCAACTTAAATGCCTCTATGCAAACACACATGGCGTAGGGAATAAACAGGAGGAGTTAGAGACGTGCACGCCCCTGCAGGGCTATGAATTTACTGTCATCATGGAGACATGGTGGGATGGCTCATATGACTGGAGTGCTGGAATGGAAGCATACAGGCTGTTCAGGAAGGACAGGCAGAGGAGGTGAGGAGGGGCTGTTGCCCTCTATGTCAATGACCAGCTAGAGTGCATGGAGGTCTGCTGAGGAACTCTCTCAATCTTCTCTGTAGCCACCCTTTAAATCCTGGAACATAGTGATAAGGCCTCCCCTAAGCCTTCTTTTCTCAGGGCTGAACAAAGCCAGTTCTCTCAGCCTTTCCTCATGTGGCGGGCTTCCCGGTCCCTTGATCATCTCTGTGGCCCTTCTCTGGACCCTCTGCAGTCTGTCCACATCTCTTTTCATAGCAGGGACCAAAACTGAACACAGAATTCCAGGTGTGGCCTGAGAAGTGGGATAATGACTTCTTTATCTCTGCTGGTGATGCCTTTGTTGATGCAACCCAGCATCCTGTTGGCTTTCTTTGCCACAGCAGAACACTGTTCGCTCCTTTTGAGCTTGTTGTCCACCAGGAACCCCAGGTCCCTCTCCCAAGAGCTGCTCCCCAGCCAGGTAGATCCCAGCCTGTACTGCAGTCCTAGACTATGTTTTCCCAAGTGCAAGACCTTACTTGTATCCTTGTTTAGCTTCATAAGGTTCTTTTCCGCCCACTCTTCCAGCCTATCCAGGTCTTCCTGCAGGGTGGCTCGCCCTTCCAAAGTGTCTGCTTCCTCACTCAGTTTGGCACCATCAGCAAACCTCACCAGGGTACACTTAATCCCATCATCCAGATCACTTACAAAGATATTAAACATCATTAATAGCTGATGATTTTTCATAACCGTTGCCCAGCAAATTTCCTGCAATTATTTTGTATTTTTGAGGGAGTGCTTGTAATATGGGATCATTTACACAATGCTCTTTTGATGACCATTTATATGACTTTATTAAATGTTTCTGTTATGTGTGACCTCAGGGCTTTTTGATATCTCATGTAGAATATAGGAACACTCAATGCCTGTGTCTCTCTGAGCACACCTGTAAATTCTGACCGAATAGCTCGTCAAGAGCATTGCCCTCTATTGGAATTGCTTTTAGAAAAGAATAGACTTGGCTAACTCAATAAATCAAAGTCTCTAAACAGAAACATGCAGATCGTAAAAAAGAATCAATCTCAATGTGTTATACATACTGTGTGAAACAAGAGTTCTTCTAACCTGTGAGCTGGAGACTAATCTTTCAAATTGAAATAGTGCCCCGAATTGAAATAGTGCCCCGTTTCTAAAAGAAGCTGCAAGTCAGATGCTCCTCTCTTACAGAGATCAAAAGTGCACTGTGGAAATGGCAAATCTGGAGACTGTTGGTTATGGTACATGTGGTAGCAAGCAACATTAAGTCACTGTATTGTTACCATTCGCTTAGGTTTATCCATTGAGCTCAGTATAAACACGTAGTTGCAGCTGATCCAAAAAATATACCTCAAACTGGAATCAATCTCACCTGAGGTTATGTAGAAGTTATATATCAAGTCTAAGATGGTCATCGTTTTTTTCTTGTTATTCATGGAGAGTCAAGAACATGAAGAGTAAGTATCCCAGCCTTAACAAAACTAAGGTGTTGAGTTAAATTTGCTTCTGTAAGTCCTCGTCTTCCTCCATAGGATAATCATCTAGATCATTCTGCAGGCATTCTTTTTTAGTCAGATGAATGCTGTCCTTGGTTCATAGAATCACAGAGTAGTTTTGCATGGAGGAGAACACTGGAGCTTATCTGGTCTAACTCTCCACTGAAAGCAGGCTCAGCTTTGAAGTTAGACCCAAGTCCAGGGCTTACTCAGGGTTAAGTAACCCAGGTTACTCAGGGCTGTGATCAAGTCTCAAATAATGAAGATCCCACAGCCTCTCTGGGCAGTCTGTTTCAGTGTTTGACCACCCTTGTCAGATTATTTTTCCTAATATCTTTTCTAATTGAAATTCGCTGTGCTGCAGCTTGCATCTGTTGCCAGTTCAATAGGAAAATGGGGTTTGATCCCAAAGATATTTGGTGAAAAATATTGAATAGACTGGATTTTCAGAAGTAGTCTTGGAAAAACTGGTTTCAAGGAGAAACAAAAATTTGGAAATTAGTTTGCCTCTTCAGTTGTAACATAGTTGTTTTATATGGAATGCCCACTGGAGAAGCATGTGCATAAATATGTATGCATTGGAGGGATAGGCTCACTTACAAGATCATAGTCTTGTATAAAATAGACCATCTTCCAAAATGAAGAATGTTACTGCCGACATTAGTTGCTATATTTAGTTCAATTTAATAATCTGTTATGTGGCTATATATAATGTAATTGTGGTATATTCTCTTCTTATGTGCTTTAGGTATATACAAGTTTTGGTGCCTGAGTCATCTGTCTGTAAGCTACAGCCTACTCATATCATCTGTCAAGTGTGGTGTTAGGGGGGAAATAATGCATATTGTTTACTAAAACTTTACATCATTAATTCCATCTTTAATTTCCTCTTTATAGAAATAGCCTATAAATAGCCTTATTTACATAAATAGTTTCCTCTTTATATTAAAAAAAACTATTGCTAATATTGTCTTACTAGTTGACTTCTTATCGTACCTTTTTCCACAGTTTGAACTTTGTCATTTTTTATTTATAAATATCCTTTGATATTACACTATAACTCATTGTTTGATCTTCTATTTTTTTCATTCATTGTAATAAACTAGGTCTTTCATCTCGTGCAGTATTTCTTGTTACCTTTGCTTTTTAAGTAGTTTTAAATTATTTTAAGCCCAACATTTTTTCTATAGTTTTTTAAGCCCAACAGTTATTCTATAATTGTTTTCAAATGTGGCTGAAATAGTTTTCCTGTGTATCACATTGCCTACACTTC